CTCTCCAGGGGGGATCTTCGCCTTGAAGAGCCACCGACCATCGACTACGTTCACCCCAGGCGTGGGAACTGCGTCGACGTAACTGCCGGTGGACCTCCAAGATGCCATCTCCGGCTCCATGGCAGCTATCCACTGAGAGGCCCAAGGTCCCGAGGTCGCCTCAGCGTAAGTGCGAGGGGTCGGGATGTCAAAGGCGTCTAGGTCACCCTCAGGGACTAACAGCATGGAGCAGAGATGGGGAGCAGCCTCGGAAAGGAAAGCAAGCTCGTACTGCATGTCCTCTAGGACGTCACTGCCAAGGGCAGGAGCACCCCCGACGGACAGAGGACGGGCAGGGTCAGAGACAAGAGCGGTAGCGTAGTCAAGACGGCGGGTAGAAACAAGCGCGTCAAGGCGCGAGACAGGAACAGAAGGGTCGGTAACAAGAGAGGCAAGAACCCGAGGGACAAGGGGACGAGCGAAACGGAGGTAGTCAGAGAACGGAGGAGGTGCAACAGCAAGCGACGGGAGGAGGTGACTGGAGGAAGGGAGGACGAGACGAGTGGGAACGAAGCAACATAGGGTGGGAGCGCAGGACAGGAGAGACGGAACGGGCACGTGAGGGACGACGAGACCAAACGTGGGATGGAGGTGTAGGGTCAGGAGACAGCGGAGGGGACACAGAAGGGGAACGAGGAGGAAGACGGGCCGGAGACGAGTCCGGCGGCGGGAACACAGGGCCGTAGACAGGAAGGTCAGCAGGCGGTGGGGGAGACACCTGTGAGCGGTCAGGGGGGGGAAGGCCGAGCAGGCAGAGAGCGGAGACCGGCGGCGACGACTGCTGCGGCTGCTGCGACGGCTGGGCCGCGACCCTCGGACCGGCAGAACTCTCAACGGCAGCACCCCCAGAACCTACACCTCTAGAGCGAGAACCCTCGCCAGCAACAGCGGCACCCCCAGGCCCGCCGGGACAAACCACGCCAGGAGCCGCAAGACGAACACCCTCCTCAACGCCAGCACCCCCAGAGGCCAAGAGCGGCGGCGGCAGCGGCAGCGACGGCGGCGGCAGCGGCGGCGGCGGCGGCGGCAACGGCGGCGGAGTCAGCGACTGCGACAGAGACAGCAAGGACGGGGCGAGGGTACCACCAGAGTCAGCAGACTCCTCAACGAGGACAACCGAGGGGAGGGGAGTGACATGAGAGACACAAGACGGGGCAGGACGAGGCGGGGGAGGAGGAGGGGCGACTGGAGGAGAGGGAGCAAGGAACAGGGGCGGGGAAACCGGGAGACCTCGGTGAGGGAAGCGGCGGTAGAGAAGACAGACTCGTCAAAGGTGACGTCACGAGAGTGGAGGAAGCGGTGAGACGGCGGGTGGTAGAAGAGCCAGTCAGACGAGTCCAGTGGGAAACCAAGGAAGACACAGGGGACAGTGCGGGCAGTGAGCTTGTCCGTGCCAGAGGCACGAACGTGAGCAAGGCAGCCCCAGACGTGGAACGCAGACGCGTCACCGGGGGACCCGGTCCAAAGGAGGGTCGGCGAAACCTGCGGCCGCTGGGAGCGGGGCCACAGGTTAAGCTGGTGAGCAGCGTAGCGAACAGCGAACGGCCACAGAAAATGGGGGGCATTGACATGAATCATGGAGGTGCGAGCAACCTCTATGACCAAGCCGATGCGGCGCTCAGCAACCCCATTCTACTGTGGTGAGTCCGGCAAGGTGTACGACAGGTTGATGCCCTCCGCACGACAGAACTGTCCAAGCCGACCAGAGGCGAACTCACCGCCACGGTCGGAGTGGAGACACAACACGGGGAGACTGTGGTGAAGACGTGCAGCCACAACCCACGGGAGAAGAACGCCGAGCACGTCGGCCTTCCGCTCCAGAGGAAACACCGTGGTGTAGCGCGTGTAGTCGTCGATGAGCACAAGGAAGTAGCGGTCACCTCACGGTCCGGGGACGGGGGCAGGGCCCCAAACGTCCAGGTGCAGGGTCTGAAGGGGGGCAGTAGCAGGGCGCAGCTAGGAGGAGTGAGGAGCACGGCGGAGCCGGCCCTCGACGCAAGGCGTGCACGGTGCCGCAGTCGAGGGGGGAAGGGCAGGGAGCGGCGCGGGGAGACCTAAGACAAGACCGTGCTGGGACATGTGACGCAGACGTGGCAGAGCAGGGTGACCTAGGCGGTGGTGCCAGAGTAGGGACGGGTGAGTGAGGGACCGACACGAGCAAGCTGCAGCAATCTGGGAGGACGCACCAACCGGGGGGGAAGCGGTGTCGAGGGTAAACAGACCGGACACCGGGTCCCGGGGGAACGTCGCAAGGGGGAAACCTGAGACAGCCTCAGAACAGACAGCGAACCGCTCGTGCCCGGGGAACGTGGTGGTGATGCCGAGGTCCTGGAGACAGTCGACACCAACCAGGTTTCGCGAGAACGAGGGAACGTGGAGGCCTGAAAGGGAGCCCGAGGGAACTGCTGGACAGGGAAGGGACGTAGAACTGCGAGCGACAACAGGACCCGCAGAGGGGTCAGCGAGAGAGACAACAGCAGGCGTAGCAAGCGGCGTGAGCGCGGAACGGTCGCGGAAGAAGCAGGCAGAAGCACCGGAATCGAGAGTGAAGGACAGCGAAGTAGTGGCGGAGGCCGGGAACGGAGCCGGTGCAGAGACTAGGCTAGGCAAACTAGGCAGTCGTACGCCTGACGCAGCAGGGGAGGCTAAGCTATACAACGGTGCAACACCTAAACTAAAGTACACAAAGTTATAAGATCCAGCAACACTAGAAGCGTCAGAATGCAAGGCATGCAAAGCAGCACCTATCTGATCCATGTCTAACTCAAAGATCGGCACGCCCTGGCGGAGCAGGCTGTGCAAGTCGGTGAGGTCCGGGGCCGGGCCGAAGCGACGACGAAAGAGATCGTCGAGGCGGCGGAAACAGCGGGCGGTCGGGTGCGGGCGGTGGCACAGAGTGCCGCGAAGAGGCCGGGTCTGAAGCTGGTACTGGCAAGTGAGAGCACCGGAGCCGCCGATAGACACCGAGCTACGCGGGCCGCCACCACTGCCACTACCTCTGGAGGTGCCGGGCCAACCAGGCGGGAGACGGGCCCACGGCTGCGACGACTGCTGCTGGGACGGCGGCTGTTGCTGGGACGGCGGCTGCTGCTGGGGCTGCTCCTGCTGCAGCTGGGGCTGCTCCTGCTGCGGCTGGGGCTGCTGCTCCTGCCCACTGGTGGTAGTCCCCTCAGGCGGACTACCGTCAAGACCACCATCACCACCACCTGCGCCACCACCCTTACCTCCCTTGCGACCACGGCCACCGCGGCGCGAGCGCTGCTGTGGGTGGACCGCAGTAGCCGTCTCGGTGAGAGGGGTCGCCGTGGCGACCGCAGCCGAAATGTCAGTGAACGTGCACTGGAAGGGAGCACAGGCGTGAAAGATAGAGACTACCGGCGCACCGCTCGACTGAGCGATAGTGCGCTGGCGAGTCTCGATCTCGGTGAGGGTGTCGACAAAGGCGGTGAGGGTGAGGTCACCCAGGTGCTGGGTAAGGAAGTGATCGCGAGCACTAGCGAGGCGGTCTGGCAGGCGCATGGCGATAAAATAGAGCGTCATGCAGAAGGGGGGGGGGAGCGCAGTGAGCTGGGCAGCAGTGCTGGCAGTGCGATAGCGGGTCTCTAGGGCATGTAGGTGAGTGGCAAAGTCTGCGACGGTAGGGAAGGCTGCAAGGTCTGGGAATAGCATCGGGAAGAGCAAGCGGCCAGCAGAAGCAGACGCGGGTGTGGAATAGCGAGCAATAACGGCGTCTAAGTAAGCTTTGGCCGTCTCAACAGTAGCAAAACGCGAGCGCTCAGACACAGGGAGGGCGTGGCTAATAGCAACCTGAGCGAGTGCATCGCGGGAGTCCCAGACCGCACAGGCAAGCGCAGCAGTAGAGAAGGTCTCACGGTCATCAGAGGAGGGGTCAGCAGGGAGGGGAGCAGGCACAGGGGGTCGGGGGAGCAAGCCATCGACATGGACAACCAAAGAGTGGCCATCCTGGCGCTGACCTGTAAGGTGGTGGCGGAGATCGGAGAGCCAGGCGGCGAAGTCAACTGCATGGCCCTCGGCGTCTAGTCGGAGCACGAAGTCAGCCATCGTGCAGGGTCAGCGGCACAGCTCCGCAGGAACACAGCGACGCAGGGACAAGGCGGCAGCACTCTTCGGCACGGCAGCCACGAGGCGCCCCAGCACTGGCGAGCAGGGTAGACGGAGCCCGAGGTGGCACGGCAGGCCGAGAAGGCACGAACAGTGGCCGGGCGGGCAGTGGGAGAGGCCAGGCAGGCGCGGCGGGGCCAGGCAGGCGCGGAGAGGCCAGGCAGGCGCGACGGGGCCAGGCAGGCGCGGCGGGGCCAGGCAGGCGCGGTGGGGCCAGGGAGGCGCGGCGGGGCCAGGGAGGCGCGGCGGGGCCAGGCAGGTGCGGCGGGGCCATGGAGGCGCGGCGGGGCCAGGCAGGTGGGGCGGGGCCAGGCAGGCGCGGCTGGGCCAGGCAGGTGCGGCGGGGCCAGGCAGGCGCGGTAGGGGCCAGGCAGGCGTGACGGGGCCAGGCGGGCGCGACGGGGCCATGCAGGGCGCGACGGGGCGAGGCAGGGCGCGACGGGGCCGTAGCGGGCACGACGGGGCCTAGGAGGCACGACGGGGCCCAGGAGGGGCGCTAGGAGGCGTGACGGGGCCCAGGAGGGGCGCTAGGAGGCGCGACGGGGTCTTGGAGGGGCGCGACGGGGCTAGGAGGCACGACGGGGCCCAGGAGGGGCGCGACGGGGCCTAGCGGGCGCGACGGGGCCTAGCGGGCGCGACGGGGCTAGGAGGCGCGACGGGGCCCAGGAGGGGCGCGATGGGGCTCAGGGGGGGGGGGCGACGGGGCCTAGCTAGGGTACGGGCGGAAGCGGTAGGTGGGGGATTCTAACCTATGCGTGATACCATGTTAAAGAACTGAATGATCAACTAGAAGGTGAAACCTAGAACAAATACTAGTTGGTTGTACTCACTAGAAGCATACCTCAGTCTAGCCTATAACTTCTACATAGCTAGTATGTATAAGTTGACACTGGGTAGGAGCATAGCAACAGGAAGCTTAGCTACTTGTATCTGGACCTATACATCTGTGACTACCACAAAGTCAGAAACCACACTAGTTGCAACCCGTATCGATACGCCTGCATCTGTTAGTATCCCCACTTCACACATACCCACCTAGTCACTTCCTCCTAAGGTTTTCCAAACTCAGTCCTTGGCTCCAATTCATAGCCTCCTGCCATTCATTTGGCACAATCTTCCCTCCCCTCTGGCCCTTACCATACCCCATACAGTTGAAATGCACGATGTGCCAACAGTTTCCATTCTCCTCCTTACCCCTCGCACTGAGCCCCAGAAAGTGCAGCGGCTTGGTGCACCCAGAGACATTCCAGAGGCGGGGCAGGATGCGGCAGCGGTGGGGGTTGTGCTTGCAGATGTGCATGAAGAGGAACTGGTCCCCGTCGAAGAAATCCGGGAGGTCTGTGGGCTTCGTGCCATTCAGGGCTTCCTGGAAGAGCTGGTGCAGAGGGACGGGGGGGGACAGCAGGGTGAGAGATTTACAGCGAGCTCGGAATATGCGTGTGTGTGTGACTGTGCGGGGGAGTTAAAGGCTGGTAGGGGCGAAGGGGAGAAAAGGGAGAGAGTTGTTTTACAATGGCATTGCGTGAAAACCTACGCCTCACTGATCGACACAGTACCGCGCCACTGCACTTCCTCCCCTTCAGCACCCCCTCCCTGTTATAACCAGATCTTCCCATGTCCCCCGTTCTGATCCTACAATCGACCCTCAACGCACGCCTGTTCCATTAACAACCGCCTCCACCTGTCATCACCCCTACACTTCCCTCCCTCCCCTATTCTCCCCCCGTGTCCCTCTCACCCGGCTCATGTTGGCCTGCCGCATCCTCTCCAGGTCCATCACCAGCTGGCAGCTGCAGTAAGGGTCCCTCAGCCGCCGCATGCTGCCCCCCTCAGGGTGGTTGTTCCCCATCCAATACAGCATCTCCCTCTCCCCTCTCATCGCATCCAAGTGCCCCCAGAGCTCCTGAATGTCTGTAGCCAGAATCATATCCACGTCCAGGAAAACTGCCCGGGGCACCTGCCACAGGATCTCGGGCAGGAAGAATTTGCTCATGCCCGGGATGCCCGAGTGGTGCGAGGTGGGGAAGTGCAGGGCAGCAGCACGGGCAGCGACCCACGCGGCGGGGAGGAAGTGCAGACTGAAGAGGAGAGGGGAGGGGTGCGCGTCAGGGGAATTGGTGCTGTTCCAGTTGCTGTAACCCCGGGGAGAGGGAGGGGCGGTGGAGAGGGACGGGGGGGAACCGCCGCCGCCGCCGCCACCGCCGCTGCCGCTGCTGCTGCTGCGGCTGCTGTCGTCAGACGGATCAGTGCTATGAGCAGTGTAGGGCGAGGGGTTGGGGGTCATCTCGATGCCACTTAGCCCCGTCAAAATGCCTCTCAAGGCGGACTCCTCCGGCTCCCCCGCGATGACGAAGTGCACGTGCAGCGGGCAGCGCGTGCCGTACAGCATCGACTTGAGCATCGCCTCCGTCTCCTCCTGAAGTGAGGGGAGCGGTAAGGAGGAGGTATGAAGCGGGTGGGGAGAGGGGGAGGGGAAGAGATGGGGTGGCATGGAAAGGGGGTGGGGCGGATCGGTGCGTGGTGTTGGACTGGTGGCCGATGGGGAGGGTGAGATGGTGTGACAGGAACGGGACAGCGAGGGGATGAGTGACGGTGGGATAATGTGGCTCTTGTTCTCTAGCTAGTCTCGCTGCATCACTTTGCAGCACTGCAACAGCAGCTGAAAAATTGGCGTTCGTTCCTGTCGTAGCCAATGTCAAGAAGCGCACCATCCCACCACCTACCACTCACCACCTTCCCCACCACCCTCCATCCCGCACCTTGGTCTGCGATTCTCTCTCCCACATGGCCGACACCAGCACCACGTGTATTCTCTCCCCCTCCGCCACCCTGCACGCCCCCACGGCGCGCGGAACGCGGCACTCCTCCGCCTCTGTTACGTTGATCAGCGGGCGCGCCTTCACCGCCTCCGCCTTCCCCACTTCCGCCTTCACCGCTTCCGCCTTCACCGCTTCCGCCTTCACCGCTTCCGCCTTTACCGCTTCCGCCTTCACCGCTGCCTGATTCGCGGGCGACCGCGCAGTGGCTGGTTGCGCTTCCGCAGGCGCCTCCTGCAGGGCGGGGGCAGCTGCTGCCGCGCCCACAGTCCCCGTTGCGGCTGACGCGTCAGCTGTCTCGGAGGAAGATCGAGGCGGCTTGGTGCCATTACTACCACTCCTAGCAGCACTGCTATAAAGACTCTTAGTACGCGCCACCCCGGCGTGTGCGCCGTGCTTGCCTCGTATCAGAAGCACAGGTGCGCTGCCAGCGGTATCCCCGACGGATAGCGAAATCGCGACGTCGTCCTCTGATTCTGCTCCTCGCGACTTTCGCGACGTCTCGGCGACGAGCGAGGTGGCGTCGCCAGCGGTCGCAGCAGCAGCGCTAACGTGTCGTCGGCGATCAGAGGGAGGGGGATTGAGGGGCAAAGAAGGGGAAATCACCTCCAACTCCTCGCTGCTATCAGATCCGGTTAATGTACCTGGACGGTCCAGAACAGCGCTGTATATTGTCCCTGCCGCGGCAGCAACGATACCAGCACGAGCAGGATCCCGCCGCGCGCCACCTGGTCTCTGTTCGACCGCCTGCGGTCCGGTCGGCCCTTTCGGCGGGGCGTGCGCCCCTCTCGACCGTTGGATCAAGGCGACGGCGATCTCGATGTCCAGAGAGCTGGCGGGCGCAGGGGAGTGGAGGGAGGGGAACGAGCGGATTGCGAGAGAAAAGGGTGCGTGAGCATAGGATGCGATTATGCGAGATGTTTGGGGCGTGGTATGCAGGCACGTACTTGCTACTAGGGGTTTTGTAATGGAGATGGCAAACGCAAGCAGGTACGCGTACGCTATTTCTATCGCACCCTTGCTGCGGCTGTCGGTGCAGCTGGGCCAGCAGCAGCAGCGCCGCCACACACGCTGCGAGCGCCACAGCGCGCCAATCAGGCGAGTGAGGCCACCATCGCAGCGCGGCCTGCAGGCGACCCAGCGACCGCTTTCCCCCGCCTTTGAGACCGCTCACGAACTCGCCTAGGTCGTACGGATCGACGTCGCGCTTTCCTGCCATGTGCGGGTACTACGAGCTGGTTTTTGGCGCCGTGACGCGCGGAGTGAGAGGTGGGATAGAGGCTATGGTGCTGGGTCGAATAAGCCGTAACTCGGATGATTGGGCAATCTCGGGCTAACGTAAGGTTCCCGTGGGTACGCGTGTAATGAGGGTTTCTTCTTTTGACCCTTGTTCACCAGTACCTCGACTACTTACTTCAACTAAGGACAGGCTTACTTCCACAATACTTAACCAGGCGCGTGCCACAGCATACCCGCAATGCGTCCACGAAGATGTAGTTGAGACAAGCTGCAAAGATGTGTCGAGGGACGGGGAGGGGCTACCGGATCGCGCACATCGAGCGCTTTGGGCCAGAAAGTGCCTCACCAGCCGCAGGTGTAAGCGCCGTCGATTTCTTCTCACGACTCGCTGGATGGCACCGCTTCCTCCTTTGTTACGAATCCCAGCCGTAGGTCGACCTCAATAAACGTGCTGCGGCGTCGCATGGGTTCGCCAAGAACAGGCACGTCGCCTGTCCAGGCCTAGCCTGGCACGAGATCCGCCTTTTTGGAAGCATGATCCACTTGATAGGTTACACTTGATATGTTAAACTCTATTTGTTATGATATTGGAAGTGTCAATGTACTATATCGTGAGCATACAAGGTCGCTATTGCAATAAAGGCACGAGGTTATATAGGGTTTGGCGTGCTAGGGCAATAACCTTGGAACGTGGGTAGGTTCGGCAATGTGGCGACATTGCCGGACGCGACTCGGGAAAGGGTTGGGCCGATAAATGAGGCCGAACGTGACGAGTCGAGGAGTTCAAGTGTACGCGCTAGCGTACGACTCGGTAAGGAATGGAAATTCCTTACACTACCCCCCCTCCTAAACGAGACCGCGGGCATCGAAAACATTCCGACACTGATAATACGCTGTTAGAATTGGGTGTGATTCTAGCTTAGTGAGCGGCACCTAGCTGTCATCTTCTGACGTGCGATCGCGCCAGCGGACGAGAAAATCAACCATCCGACGGTTCATCTGCGTCGTGATTCGGTGGCCGAGATTTTTCAAGGGCTCGGTCGTCGGTTCGTGCAGGGGCGTTAGCTGCGGTACACCGCGTTGGCGTGCCAATTCCGACGAACTGGGGACGTAGGGCCGTAAGAGGCTGACGTGGAAAGCCGGGTGGTGACGCCAATCAGCCGGGAGTCGGAGGTGAGCAGTGACAGGTTTCACCATATTTGTCACTTGAAAAGGCCCACATAATCTGGGTCGGAGCTTGCTCGGGATCGGCAGCCGCAATTTGCGAGTTTCGAGTAGGACGAGATCTCCCACTTTGTAAGTGACGTTACGTCGATGGCGGCCGGCTTGTCGGCTTGCAACCAGGTTGGCTTTCCTGATTGCCTCAGCTGCTTTTTCTCGGGCAGTGAGAATGTCTTCAGCAAATTTCTAGGACCAGGGCACGGGTGTCTTGATGTTCGGGGTAGAGGGTACCACTGGGTCCTGTCAGTAGTTGAGGAAAAATGGGGACTGATGGGTTGTGGCGGAGGGAGCGTTATTATATGCGAATTCCAGCAGCGGAAGGGATTTCTCCCATGTCTGTGGGTCACTACAGGTAGTTTGAATGAGTTGCTCCATAGTTTGCTTGACTCGTTCGGTCCGCCCGTCGGTCTGTGGGTGGTAGGCGGAGGAAAACTGTAGTTTGGTGCCGAACTGGTCCCACAGGTGGCGCCAGAATTTCGATGTGAATTTCGGGTCTCGGTCTGAGATAATTGCGGTAGGCAATCCGTGTAGTCGAAAGACGTTGGCGATGGACAGTTGGGCAGTCTGCTCAGTTGTAATTGTCTGTTGGCAGGCAATGAAGTGCGCCATTTTCCTGAGTCGGTCAACGACCACGAGAATGGCGTCGTTTCCGCTGGGACCGGCCGGCAGTCCTGTCACGTAGTCCATCGTGATGTATTGCCAGGGTCGCTGGGGCGGATCCAACGGCTGTAGTAGTCCGGCTGCTCGCTGATGGGAGGATTTCATGATCTGGCAGGCAGTGCAGGAGGACACGTACTTGCGCACGTCGTCGGCCATGTTCGGCCAATAATAGTTGCGCTGCAACGACTTCATAGTTTTGTCGACTCCGAAATGCCCAGAGGTAGGGTTTTCGTGGGATTCCTGTATTAAAAGGGTACGCAGTAAATCGTAGCCGGGCACCCAGATGCGAGAAGTATCGCGCTTATTAAAATAGTGTCCGGTGGCGGTGGTATGCTGTTGATGGATAGCAGAGCGGAAGAAATGGTCGATTTTGTAGCCGTGGGTAAATAGTCCGATAAGTAGTGGGCTGGTCTAGGCGATTACTATGGCGGCGGTATGGGCGGTGGGTCGAGTCAGGGCATCGGCAATATTGTTGGCGCCCCGTTTGTAGGTGATGGTGTAGTGGAAATTCGACTCGAGGAAATCGAGCCATCGGATCTGTCGCGGGTTGAGATTCGGTTGGGCTCGCAGGTACTAGAGGGATTTGTGGTCAGTCCGCACTGTGACGTCAGCGCCTGTCAGGTAGCACCGCCAGGTCTTGAACGCGTGGACGATCGCCAGCATTTCGTTGTCGTGTACCGTATAGTTTTTTTCCGCGCCCTGCAGTTTCCGTGATTCGTAGACGACCGGGTGTAATCCGTCGCCGAAATCCTGTAGGAGAACTGCACCGATGGAGATGTCGTTGGCGTCGGTGATGACTTCGTATGGACAGTCAGGATCGAAGATGCGAAGGACAAGCGGCAACGTGAGGGCGATCTTTAGTTGGTCGAATGCAGCTTGCTGCTTCTCTCCCCACAAAAAACAATCGTGATCCTTGAGTCGGTCAGTTAGCGGGGCAGATAACCCAGCCATATTGGGGATAAATCGACGGATGTAGTTGAAGAAACCCAAAAAACTCTGCAGCTCCTTGATGTTGGTTGGCGGCTTCCACTCCTGTATGGTCTTGATTTTCTTGGGGTCGATTTTTACTCCTTCGGTCGAGACGACGTGGCCCAAAAACTCCAACTCCTGCTTAAGAAAGTCGCACTTAGACCCTTTCGTAATGAGGCGATTCTTGTGCAGCAGCGTGAAGACTGCATCAAGATCTTGTAAATGCTGCTCCCTGCTGCGGCTGTAGATTAGTATGTCGTCGAGATAGATAATAACTTATTTATTCAAGAGTTCCCGAAAAATGCCGTTCATGGTCATCTAGAATGTCGAGGGCGCGTTCGTGAGGCCAAAAGGCATCACCAGGTATTCGTAACTGCCGTAGCGGGTGCGAAAAGCGGTTTTGTGACAATCGTCGGTGGCGACGCGAATTTGATGGTAACCTCCTCGCAAGTCGATTTTCGAGAAGAATTTGGCTCCACGAAGTTGGTCGAGTAGATCGTCAGCTCGCGGGATCGGGTAACGCGACTTGATTGTGATCATGTTGAGCGCATGGTAGTCCCCATATTGGGGATAAATCGGCGGACGTAGTTGACGAAACCCAAAAAACTCTGTAGCTCCTTTATGTTGCTTAGCGGCTTCCACTCCTGTATTGTCTTGATTTTCTTGGGGTCGATTTTCACTCCTTCGATAGAAACGACGTGACCCAAAAACTCCAACTCCTGCTTAAGAAAGTCGCACTTAGACCCTTTTGTGATGAGGCGATTCTTGTGCAGCAGTGTGAAGACTGCATCAAGATCTTGTAAGTGCTGCTCCCTGCTGCGGCTGTAGATTAGGATATCCTCAAGGTAGATAATAACGCATTTATCCAAGAGTTGCCTGAAAATGCCGTTCATGGTCATCTGAAAAGTCGAGGGCGCGATCGTGAGGCCAAAAGGCATCACCAAGTATTCGTAGCTGCCGTAGCGGGTGCGAAATACGGTCTTGTGACAATCCTCGGCGGAGACGCGAATTTGATGGTAACCCCATCGCAAGTCGATTTTTGAAAAGAACATGGCTCCACGAAGTTGGTCGAGTAGTTTGTCGGCTCGCGGGATCGGGTAACGCGACTTGATTGTCATCCTGTTGAGCGCGCGTTAGTCGATGCACATGCGGAATCCTCCATCCTTTTTCGGTGTGAACAGTATCGGGGCGGCGTATGGGGACGTGCTGGGCTGGATAAATCCCTTCGTCAAAAGGTAATCCAGCTGCTGCTGCAATTCTTCCAGTTCTGGTTAGCTCAGCTAAAATTGTCGAAGTACCGTCGGTTGGGCGCCTGGTTCCAGCTCGATGTGATGGTCTTCTAGTCGGCTCGGCGGAAGTCCAGCTGGCAGGTCGTCCGGGAAAATCTCGGGGTATTTTCGAATCAGTTCCGCTTAATCCGGAGGAACGGCTTTGCACAGCTTCGCGATATCTTCGGCTGTTGTCGTCGATGTCACCTCGCGAAGATCAACAGCGTACGCTGCAGCTCCCGCTTTTATCGCGCGCTTGAAAGTTATCGCATGGACTTGGGTGCTTCGCATGCGAGGCCACGTCCATTTCGGTAGCTCGCGGGGGATCCCATCGAGTCTTATGCTGCAGCCGCCCGTCGTCCAGTCGATCTTCGGGTTGTACTGTCGCAGCCAATCCCGTCCCAGTAGCACGTCGCACCCGTCGAGTGTAGTCGCCAGCAGCCCCATCCGTAATTTTACGTGCTCCCCACAATGAAAACTGACGTTCTCCACTCGCTCCCGTATAGCCAGCGGTGTTCCATCCACCAGTCGGGCGTCGATTTCGGGTAGACACTTGAGTAACGGAATACTCAATTTTTTAGCCCTGTTCAGCTGTATGGGACTGTGACTCGGGCCTCCATCCACGAAAATCTTCAATAACACTCCCTTGACTTTACCCTCCACCAACATAGGGTGATCAATAGTTTCGTCCCCCTTATTCGTCCGGGTCCGGTCGATTGCAGCAATCGGGATCACGACCCGGTGGGGAATGTGTGGCTCGGGCGAAGAAGCCTGCTCGTCAGTAAGGGGCCCGGTACTTACTGACGCGACCCATTTCTTAGAACTGAAGAATTAGTGAATAGAGAGAGAGTACAAGGGTATATACCTAAGAGTGTTGTACCCTCTAAGAGGCAACCCTATACAGTCTATACAAACATGAGTTATGCTTATGTTTGACACACCCCCTAGACTGCATAGGGGAATGACCTGAACAAGCAGCTCAGGGCGGCACTACTAGTCCAACCTCTGAGACAAGGGTCTAAAAGACCAGTCAGACGGAGTTGAGACAAGGCAAGAACAAGACCAGGGCGGCACTACTAGTCCAGCCACTGGGAGAGGATACAAGTCCAGTCTGAGTATGCATATAAAGGACAGTACAAAGTCAAGGCCCTAGGAAGTGAGAGGCTACAGGAACTAGACCAAGCTGTACGCAGTGCCGCTGATGATCTTTAGGCGCAAGCGCCTTCGTAAAGATATCAGCTATGTTGGCACCTGAGGCCAAGTGTACTACGCGAGCCTGGCGTCGCTGCTGTAGCTCGCGCAGGAGGAAGTATCGCAGCTGAATATGCTTTGCTCTGCCCTCGAGTCGAGGCTCCTGACACAGGAGGATCATGGCCCTGTTGTCAGCGAACAGGACCGGGGCAGAGCTAGGCCGCTTACCTAAGTCACTGAGCAAGAAGGTCAACCAGCGGAGCTCCTGTGCCGCCATGGCACCAGCGTAGATCTCAGCCTCACAGCTGGACTGCGCAACAGACGAGGAGCGGGTAGCTCTCCACGAGACGGCACCTGAGCCAAGGCTGAAGCAGTAGCCCTGGGTAGACCTGAGTGTCTCGGCATCGTTTGCCCACGAAGCGTCTGTGTGTCCAGTAAGGACCACTGGCCTGCGTCCTCCTAGCACTAACCCCATGCCCGATGTACTAGCGAGATAACGCAAAACCCTCTTAGCGGCAGACCAGTGCTGCGGCCGGTGTCTGCCTGTGGCCACAAAGCGAGCTAGGATGCTGAGAGGGTACGCGAGATCTGGGCGAGTGCAAGTCATCAGGTACATAAGGCAACCCACCAGTTCTGCGTAGGGGCCGCTGGGCTCTACCGACTCCTCAGACACTGGAGCGGAGAGTCTGTGGTCTACAGGCAGAGGGGTGGGCTGTGCAGAGGAGAACTAAAGGCTGAACCTCTGAAGGACTTGGCGCACCAAGTGTGACTGAGTCAGGGTGATGGTGCGCGCTGCTCTGTCCCTGGAGATCTGCAAGCCAAGGTAACGGCGCAGTTCTCCAAGGTCAGTGCACGTGTGTCTCTTCAGCAGCTCTGCCTTCACGGAGGCTAGTGCGTCCCTGTCTGCTGTGGCAAAGACCAGGTCGTCGACGTAAACAAGGATGTAGAACGGAGTCTGGCCAGCACGAACGAAGAGTGAGGGGTCTGCGGAAGATGGAAAGAACTGCAGGTAAGCAAGCGTAGCACGGAGAGTGTCGTGCAACTCACGGGGAGCCTGGCGCAGGCCGTAGACGGGGCGCCGCAGGAGCCACTGGGTCCTAGGAGGGAAGGTGCCAGTAAAGCCCGGAGGGCGACGCAAGTAGACCTGCTCGTGTAGGCTGCCCTGAAGGAAGGCAGTGGAGAAGTCGAGGGAGTGAAGCTCGTAGTCACGCTGAGCAGCTAGGTGTAACAGAACCCGAAGAGTAGTCATTCTCGGGGTCGGAGCGAAGGTCTGAAAGAAGTCCACCCCCTCACGCTGACTGAAGCCTCTAGCCACGTAGCGCGCCTTGAACACAGGCGGCTCTCCATGAGGGCGCTTCACCTTGAAGAGCCAGCGGCCATCGACTACGTTCACCCAGGCGGGGGAACTGCGTCGACGAAGGTGCCGGTGGATCTCCAAGATGCCATCTCCTGCTCCATGGCAGCTATCCACTGAGAGGCCCAAGGTCCCGAGGTCGCCTCAGCGTAAGTGCGAGGGGTCGGGATGTCGAAAGCGTCTGGGTCACCCTCAGGGACTAGCAGCATGGAACAGAGCTGGGGAGCAGCCTCGGACAGGAACGCAAGCTCGAACTGGCGGTCCTCCAGGACGTCACTGCCAAGGGCAGGAGCACCCCCGACAGACGGAGGACAGGCAGGGTCAGAGACCAGAGTGGTGGCGTAGTCAAGGCGGCGGGTAGAGGCGAAGTCAGCGACCGCAGCGACAAGAGCGTCAAGGCACGAGACCGGAACAGACGGGTTGGTAACGAGAGAGGCAAGGACCCGAGGAACAAGAGGACGAGCGGCACGAAGGTAGTCAGACAGCGGGGGGGGTGCAACAACAAGGGAGGATGGAGGAGGCGAAGGTAGAAGGGGAGGACGAGACGCGTGGGAACGAAGCAACATAGGGTGGGAGCGCAAGACAGGCGAGGCAGGACGAGCACGGGAGGGACGGTGAGACCAGACGTGCGACGGAGGAGTCGGGTCAGGAGACAGGGGAGGGGACACAGGAGGGGAACGAGGAGGAAGACGGGCCGGGGACGAGTCCGGCGGAGGGAACACAGGGCCACAGACGGGAAGAGGAGGAGACGGTCGGAGAGGAACAGCCGCAGGGTCAGGGGACGGAAGGCCGAGCAGGCGAAGGGCTGACACCGGCGGGGACTGCTGCTGCGGCGGCACAACGGCGACACCGGGACTGCAAGCGGCTCCGCGGCTACCACTGGCACACTCCACACCAGCACCCCCAGAGGATCCACCCCCAGGGCTACCGGGACTAGCACCCCCAGAGTGAACGAACGGGTGCTGCGACGGCGGCGGCGGCGGCGGCAGCGACAACGACGGCTGCAACGACGGCAGAGGCGGTGGAGGAGGGGACTGGGGAGGGGACGCCGGGGGAGGGGCGGCCGGCGAGGACTACGCAGCAGGGCCACCAGAGTCAGAAGACTCCTCATCCGGGTCCACCGACGGAAGGGGGGTGACGTGGGATACACCAGAGGGGCCAGGACTGGGAGGAGGAGGGGGAGGGGCAGGGACTACCGGGGAAGGAGTGACCAGGAACAGGGGGTGGGTAACCGGGGGACCGCGGTGGGGGAAGCGACGGTAATAGGAGACGGACTCGTCAAAGGTGACGTCGCAAGAGTGAAAGAAGCGGTGAGATGGTGGGTGGTAGAAGTGCCAGTCGGACGCGTCAAGGGGAAAACAAGGGAAGACGCAGGGAAGGGTGCGGGCAGTAAGCTTGTCCGTGCCGGAGGCACGGACGTGAGCACGGCAGCCCCATACGTGGAACGCAGACGCGTCACCAGGAGACCCAGTCCAAAGACGGGTCGGCGAAACCAACGGCTGCTGGGGGTGCGGCCACAGGTTAAGCTGGTGAGCGGCGTAGCGAACGGCGAACGGCCACAGAAAATGGGGTGCACCGGCATGGATCATGGAGGTGCGAGCCACCTCCATGACCAAACCGATGCGTCGCTAAGCGACCCCATTCTGCTGTGGGGAGTCCGGTAGGGTGAACGTCTGGGTGATGCCCTCCGCACGACAAAAGCGACCAAGGACACCTGAGGCAAACTCGCCACTACGGTCGGAGTGGAGACGCAAGACAGGGAGACCTCAGTGGACACGGGCAGAGACAAGCTAGGGGATGAGGGCGTCAGGCACGTCGGCCTTCCGCTCCAGGGGAAAGACCGAGGTGTAGCGAGTGAAGTCGTCGACAAGCACAAGAAAGTAGCGCTCTCGACGTGGCCCATGGACGGGGGCGGGGCCCCAGACGTCCATGTGCAGGGTCTGCAGCGATGCGGCGGTAGGGGGAAACGAGGAGGAGTGAGGGGCACGGCGAAGCCGACCCTCGACGCAAGGCGTGCAAGGTGGGGCAGGGGAGGAGGGAAAAGCGGGGAGAGAACCAGGGAGACCAAGGACGAGACCGTGCTGGGACATGTGACGCAGACGCGGGAGCGCAGGGTGACCTAGACGGTGGTACCAAAGGAGAGTCGGGTGAGTGAGGGACCGACAGGAGCAGGCAGCAGCAACCTGGGTAGACGCAGCCACCTTAGGGAGCGCTCCAGCCAGGGGGGTCACGGTGTCCAGAGTGAAGAGGCCGGACACCGGGTCTCGGGGGAACGTGGACAGGGGGGCACCCGTGGCGGCCTCGGT